ACGAGATTAAGGATCTGTTTGGGACAGTTGCAGCTTATCCAGCTTCTGCTGATAAGCAGTTTATCATGATAATCTGCTGAGGAACGGTTGATCCAGATAAACTGTCTGGCTGTTTGGTTGGCGCTTATGGAAAACACCTGATTCTGAAAAATTGATCATTCTGCCCCTGTTATGAATAAGCAGTTTAGCTGTTTGGTTAGTGTGTTTTGTAAACAACTTATTTGAATTTTTTTTAAATAAAATGAATAATTTGTTTAGCAGAATTTATTCTTTTCTCAATGAAATTAAAGATCACTGTTCAGACAAGAGGGTCTGTTTGAGGTAGCTGCATCTTATCCAACTTCTGCTGATAAACATCTTATCCTGATAATCTGCTGATGAGCAGCTGATTCAGATAAGCTGTCTGGCTGTTTGGTTGACGCTTATGAAAAACAACTTATTCTGGAAAATTGATCATTCTGCCCCTGTTTTGAATAAATAGTTTAGCTGTTTGGTTAGTGCGCTTTGTAAACAGTTTATTTGGAAAATTTTTTTAGTTAAATGAATAATCTGTGAAGTAGAATTTGTTCTTCCAGAACCCTGAGCAAACCTGTCCGACTGCGATATCATAGAAACAGAAGAACTCGAATCACATGCGACGTTGTCCTGTTGTGGTACTATTGGCAGCTGTGTCAAATTGGGATATCATAAAAATAATTCTACTGTTCTAGCAGCTGTGTCCAATTGGGATATCGTAGAAATACTTCCGCTATCGGCCCACTTGAAGAATTTGTAGTCGTTCGGTCTTTGTCCACAACGCGGACACAGCACCTGTAGAATTGTCGCCCGTAACTATGTGTCTGCCGTGATGTAAATAGCAATGACGGTATCCCACATTGGCACATCATTTGCCTAACGACGGTAGCCCACATCGGCACATCATTTGCCCTGAATATCTCGAGCTCATTGTTCTACAATTGTTATAAAAAATTTTGATCAGTTAAAAACCAGAGGGAATAACAAAAAAAAAACTCAACATACCAAATTGTGGAAGCAATGGTTGCAACATAGTTCTTTGGCCATCCAATGTGCTACACTATTATGTGATAAAAGCAAGGGGGCAAGGTTTGATCTCTTGGAAAGTAATGTTGTAAGCAAACCTATATCTCGAAAAGCTATATTGAAAAAAAAATTAGGGAATGCCCTGAAATGTAAATTTTCTGTTTGAACAATTAAGAGGCATTGCCTTAAACCTTTAGGCCAAAATATACTTTTGCAATTTGTATGAATTGACATCATTTACCATCCATAAATTGAATGCTTCAATTGTTATGTATGTAAACATAATTAAATAGAACCTGAGAGAATGAGCATTGAAATTAAAACTAAAATTGTTGCATTTGCATCTTTCACCAGCCATAAATCAAAGTTTTTTTTCTCAATAACATAATTCCAACTTTTTTCTCCTCTAAATAAACCTACTATTAAAATGCTTCGAGTGTTATGTATGTAAACATCTTAATAATTTTCATGCATATCATGACATATAAGCCAATGCATATATAAGCCACTGCATATCAACTGAAAACCAAGCAGGTACACTTACAATTTGAAGCAAGTCAACTTAAAACCACTTTTGAATCTCTAAGTAGGTAGTCATGATGCACATGTAAAAAAACCTCATGAATGTTAAAGCTGCTACCAACTCTCCCAACTGACATGATAACAATCTCATCAATGTTAAAGCTACTACCATATGAGCAATAAAGATAGGGCAACGTCAACAAACAGGATCCTAAATCCAAACAGAAAAATCCAAACAGAAATTTAGAAAAACTGATAACAACAAGGTCCCAAATGGATTCCCTCAATTCCATCATAAGAAAATAAATGACACAATGGTTGCTGTAATTATAATGAGAAAATAAATGACACAATGGTTGCTGTAATTATTTAAGTCATCCTAAAGTGCCAAATTTTTTTGAATACAGGACAATAGAGAACAGAGGTTGAATAAATACAACAATTTTTCTTTTTCAGCCAATGACGCATCCTCCATCAATTAAAAGACCAAACAAAACTTCTGTACAACTCTATGTGCAACTTTTAAAATTTTCCCAATCAACTTCTTATCGAGCCCAAAAAGAGCATTTAAATCCCTAAAAAACAGAATTTCGATCCATTCGAAAGCCAGCAAATAATCAGCCTTCAAATGGGCATTCAAACTCTTCAACCAAAAAAACAGTAGATATTCAGTTCGAACAACGCATTTGAATCCTTTCAAAAATACAACATTTGATCAACCCAGAAAATCAACAAATAACCGACCTTCAAAAGAGCATTTGAACCCTTTTATCAGTAGATATCTAGCCCAAAAACGTAATGCATATGTTAGTAAAGTGGCAAATGAGTAAGAAATGAAGTTCATGTGGTAAGGACATAATATGTGAGAATTGAATGTATGCTTGTAAATCATCCAACCTGACACATGCAAACAAATGAGCTCGACAACGATTAATTGGTCATAACAAGAAACAAACATGTCAAGTCTCATGTGATAATAACTTCAAAAATAACTTGTTGACTATATGACTATATGGATATCACAAGTATTAATAAAATTATTTCCATACATCCCCAAATGCAACTTTATTTATAAATCTAACACCCAAAGTTTGATATATACAGATGGTGTAAACAACCAAAAAGCAGTGAAGGCAACAACAATATTGAATCCAGAATAACTCCCACATGCTACCATCTGAAACAAGAAAACAACCAAAAATCACCTTTCAATATTTCCATGCATACCACGTGATTCTTATGTATTAACATATCTAACACCTATACTTCATAAATTTCCATTCATGATAATTTATACCAAGCTTTAGAAGCATAAATAATGGAAAAAACCAGCAAGCTTTTGCTTTTGAGACCAGCAAGCTTTTGCTTTACAAGCAGAAATAATTAGAATATTTAGGATACAATATATTAAAATGCATTAATGAAAGAATGTAGAATAAATAAATATTTAGGACACAACTAATAGATGAATTTAGAGATACCATAAAAGCATGCCAGCCTCTTGAAACGAATGCAGCTCATTCATTTGTAAATACATGAGATTTATTTGTTAGGTATGCAAATTTCTCTAACAAATAAAGTACTATATTTTAGTCATTGCTGGAAGATGGGCAAATCAAACAGAATCATCCATCAAAAAATGCGAGCAACTAAACTCCAAATGCCGAAACTAAAGCTAGATGATGGATAACAGAGACAAAAAACGGATCAAAAAAGCAGACTTGTGCCATCAAATCATCAAAGCTGCTCGACATTTAAGGTTTAAAAAGGATGAGAGAGCAAAGAAAATAGACAGTTCAAGGTACTTCAAGGTTGTTGCACATTGAATCTGAACAGAACTAGTGTGATCCCACAATAGTCCTGTTTTACGTGACCCAAATAATTAGAACAAGGCTTGATGATGATTTTAATTATCATTAAAGAGATGGTTAGAGCATTGTTATTTGCCCCATAGCCATCAAATAGTCAGCTTAATTAATGAATATAGAAACATTTAGAGTAATGTACTAAAATAGTAACTTGGCTATTTCGATGGGATCGATTTAGTTCCAGAGTAACAAAGTTGTTACATGGCATGTCAATCTACCTAGATGAATGTGCAGTATAATCTAGATGAATGTGCAGTACAATCTTTTAGCATTGACCAACCATAAACCTGTCTAAAATAATCATACTAATATAAGCTTCCTCTTTCTTTTTTTACTTTATAAACAATTTCATGGCTTAAAGAACAACCATAGCCATGCAACTTTATCCCCAGCTAAGCCCCTCTCAAAACGCTGGCAGTAATCCTCTGTGTGTGCTACCAAAGCAATATGACCAAGAAAACCTTTTGTATTAACCCTATCAAATTAAACTTTGCTGCAAAAACTTTGCCTTTTGTGTTAAGCCCATCAAATTAAACTTTGTTACCAAAACTTTGCTTTTTATATTAAGCCCACCAAATTAAACTTTACTACCAAAGCAATATGACCAAGAAAACCAAAATCAATTTCAATGCTCATTTAAAACCAAATATATAAGAATAAAAACATAAATCGTATCCTTCAGCACATCAAATGTGATTACGAAATGAGATACATATATACTAGTGAATGAGTTATCAGAAAGATCGAACCCATGAAGGTTCATTGAATATAAATAAATTGTTTTAAGAATCTTGTCAAAGCTATTGAATCATTATACTAGAAACTTATTATTTTAAAGAAATTATTTTAAAGCTGTAATATGAATTCTGGAATCATTATACTATAAACTTAATAAAAAAAAACAAATACTTAATAAAATTGAAATTATTAAAGGCATTTAAAAGAACATTTGTAAATTAACTTAGTCTTTTAACTGCAATTTGTAAATTTCCCAATGAATTTTGGTTTTCCGCTGCTGGATTCGGGCGATGGATTGTTCGCTGCTGAATCCGGCGTCGAACGGCTGTCACGGGAGCGAGAGGTGAAGCGTTGTTGGATCCGACGTCGAACGACTAGGTTACGGGAGCGAGCGACAAAGCCTTGTTGGATCCGACGTCGAACGGCTTGGTGACGGGAGTGAGAGGCGAAGCTTTGCTGGATCAGGCTTCGAACAGAGGTCACGGGAGCAAGAGGCGAAGTGCGGCGTCGAACGGCTAGGGTCACGGGAGCAAGAGGCGAAAGAAAAAGAGGCAAGGTCACGAGAGCAAAGTAGGGGAGCAAAGTAGGGATCGAGGGTTAATAGGTCAATCAGAATCTCAAAACGCCCTTGTCTTTTACAATTTCCAAAATGCAGTTTCCAATAATCTCTTAATAAGTGGGAACCAAACAGTGATGTTATAACCTCCCCCAAATGGGTCTTAAGTTTGGACAAAATTGTGCTTAGCTAATCAAGCTCAGTATTAAGTTCGAGCTTGGCACTGTTTCACCGTGGCAATGAAATGGAATTAATTATAAATTATTAGGTTAGCAAATTAGCCTCTCCAATCGCTCGCGTTCTTTCGTTTTTCTCATTATCCGTTGGCTATCATGTCATCCCGACTTCCACTCCCATCAATCCTCTGCACACCAATCCTTCAAAGGAACAAAATCAAAGCAGCTGTCTTCGGTATTTTAGGAGCACCATTCGTCCATATTTTTTCCTTGTACCATTTTCAGAGGGGCCGTAGATTTCTAGTCTTCCAACGTAGGATTCTCCACCTCCCGTTAATTCTTCAATGGCCATAATCTGTTCCACTGTTAACTCACTCCATCTTGAACCGAGCTTTGCTTTCTTTTTGCCATCCAAATCCAATGGTATTGCGCTGAACAGTCGGCGCCTGAGATTCCCTGAGACATGGAAGCATTCCATGAGCCAGGCCAACAAAAGCTTCATACAAAACGGAGTGTTGAGGATCAATGGGAGGGAGCCACTCTCGAGTGTGCCAGAGAATGTCGTGGTCACTCCTTCTTCGAATGGGTCGTTGTTCTTGGGAGCAGTCTCACAGGAGGCGAGCAGCCGCCATATCTTCAAGCTAGGTGTTGTCAAGTAAGTTCTGGTGGCTTTTATACTTGGTTTCTTGCTGTTTCCGTTGCCTTATTTTGTGAAGTTTGAACGCTGCTTATTGCCTTGTTCAGAGGCTTTTTCTGAAATGATTTTGAATTCTGTCTCGATAACACCAATGACTGATAATGTTTTCAAATTACAATATATGGTAGTTGATTGCTTGTAACTTGATACTGTGGGGATATAATTATGTTCTTACAGATCTGGATGCAGCCAGACGAAGATAAAAAATCTTGTTTGATTGGTATTTGCCTCATAATGGATTTCAGATAAATTTGGAAAGTAATGTGCGTTAAAATGGCGAATATAAGCTATGTTTGCTGCATATAATCTTTTGGAGAAAAATCACACATAGAGTATTTTAGACTTTACCTTGCATAGTTATAAATATGTTGCCGTGAAAAGTAATTTGCTATAATCACTTACTAATAATACTTTTGTAGAAAGGGATTTAGCGTCTGTTTGGGTTCGCTGTAGCTGTTTGAAGAAGCAACTGTGAAGCCGCTAAAGAAGAAACTGTTGTTCAAAAAGCTGCAGCGACTATTACAAATTTTTTTTTAACAGAATTCAGATCACAACTTTCTAGTTGTCACTGCAGGTCGCCAAGTTTGATTTGAAAACACAACTTTAAGCTGCAACTAATTGAGAACACAAACAAAACACAGTTTTGTCAAACAAGAAAAACTACGGTGCGACACGACACTGCTACCGCATTGCCGCCCCAAACACACCTTTAATAAAATAGATGTTTCATTGCTTTGAGTTACAAAACAAGAGGTATGCGAGGTTTGATTTTATTCTAATTACATTATAATTTAGAATCAAATTGATCTTCTTGACACCTAAATTATTATCAGAAATATTTGAATTGGCATTTTCAATTCATTCCTGATGTACTATCATTAGTGTTGAATATCTTCTTTACAAATCAGTTTAAACTTAATCTATTCTCCTTTTATGTATCTTGAAACAAAGAAATCTAAGTATTTACACATCAGTTAAATTCAATTGAACCATACCATTCATTCCGCTTTGATTTCAATTTGGAATTGGAAACATATGAAATATATTTAGAATGCTTTTGGAATTTTAACTTTTTTTAAAATTTGTTGTTTTTCCTTTATTTGGCTGCACAATTTTATACGGTATAACAAAGAAATCTAAGAAGAAAATGAAGCAGTACACTATAATTTTTTCAGGAGTGTATGACAGAGAATCAAAGGAGGATATTTGATCAAAAGATCATGACATGTTTATAATAATTACAAGGCAAATGTTTTGAACTATAAAAATCTAAGTCAATATTATATTGGTTTTTATTTTCTTATCAAATGTCTTCACTGTAGCCATTGATAAAAAATTTCTAACAGAAGTTGCTGACCCATTTTGTCCCAATTCCTGCTATTCTTTTCCTTTGTATTTCATTCTTGTCATCATAACAAGCTTCCAGACATTTGAATCAAATTCAAGCTGTAAAAGTAAATAGGATTTTGGACTAGAATAAGAATATTGCTTATCCTTTTTTCGATACTCTAGTATAGTTTATTTTATTTATTTATTTTTGTTTTTGCTAAGTAATAAATGACAGGCCTCTCTATTAGCAAAATGTGCTGCATCAGTTTCTGGAAGTCTAATGATTGTCATGAAAATTGACTCTGGAGAGGAAGCTTTCCGTGTTTAGAGCATTAAATAGCCTATTTACTTGCTTGCATGGTTAATCGTTTAAAGTACAATTGCTCTTTTATTTTTTGAGCAAGTTAGATGTTGCTTATGAAAATTTGAGTATCTTCATGGAAATTAACTCTGGCACAATGCTTAACCTTCAAGAATCATACTGCTTTAGTTTATGTAAGTTTGTCTATCTTCATAAAAGTTGACTCTGGAGAGGAATCATCCAGAGTTTAGAGAGTTCCAGTGCATGGCCAGTTCTGCTTGCTTGCATGCTTAAATGTTTCATGTACAGAGTGCCTTTTTGCTTTTTGATTGAGTTAGATGTTGAGAGATTTTGATATTACAGATCTAATGGCACTATGATTTGGCTGCAGGGATTTCCCGCTTCTTTCCTTGTTCAGATTTAAGATATGGTGGATGATACCTCGAATAGGCCATTCAGGAAGTGATATCCCAGCAGAGACACAGTTACTACTTCTAGAAGCAAAGGCTAATGGAGATGAGAGTCCAAAAGCTGATAAAGCTTTACGATTCTACATTTTGTTTTTGCCAGTGTTAGATGGCCAATTTAGAAGCAGTTTACAAGGGAACTCTTCAAATGAGCTTGAGTTTTGCATAGAAAGTGGTAGCGATCAACCCTAAAGATCGTGTTCTTATATCTAGATTTTATGCTAAGGATTTGAAAGACGATGGTGAATGCTGTCTATTGGCTGGTATTGTTTTTTTAGAGAATATTTTCACTGTTGATACCTTACATAGCTAACTTTTCCTCGTAGGGGATCCCTTTGTCAAGTCATCTAAGTTCCTTGAGGTAGTTCTTGTAAATTATGGCGAAGATCCTTACCATCTTGTGAAAGAGTCGATAAAGTAAGTCCCTTTGTTCTCTCAATAAATATGTACCTCATAATTGATTCTTCTTTATTTTCCAAATCTTTTGGGGGTGCTGTTATGTATTCATATGGAGTTGATCCCAAATTGATCTATCACACAGAATATTGCATGAGAAAAAAGGCACTTTTTTGCCATGCGAAAATAAACAGGCAAGTCAATGTCTTTTACTTTAGTTTTAATTATAATTTATGAAATTCTCGCAACAATAGGCGGTGGATTTTATATATATATTTTTTCTTGATATTGCAAAAAAATAAAGATTTGTTTCTTCTTACTATTGAAACAGATGCCAGGAATGCTAGATTGGTTTGGTTGGTGCACATGGGATGCTTTTTATCATGATGTAAGTCCTCAGGGAATCACAAAAGGTCTAAGGAGGTATTTGTTCTTAATCCCTTCATGATCCTTTAATTGCTTGTTTGTTTTATGCAAATGCTTTTCCATGCACATGTCCAACTGTCTATTCTATGCATGCTATTTGGTACCAAGGACAAAAAGGCTTGTGTCATTTAAGATATTACTTTGTCCATGATCCTAACCTGGCGGTTGTTTAGTTCACCAACATCTGCCATAATGTCATGTTATCAATAAATCTCTATTTGTTTGCTTCACTATCATGTTATCAATAGATCTCTATTTGTAAAGCAAAAAATGAATAAAGCAGTCGTTGATCTTTCTGGATAAAATTGTATTTTTTAACTTTTACTACATCAAACAAAGCACATTGCATTTAATAGATAGCATTAACATCTAAATAGCATTTTAATTTTGATAACATTGTTATCGACATAATTTGAACCTAATAGCCCCTTAATCTTGGTTTTATTACACTCATGAAAGTAGTGTTTTTTTGGCAACTGAAACTACGAAGAGATATAAGCCATAAAAGTGCTTTTTGCAAGACTTTATAGAGGAGAAAATGGGTTAACTTGTTTTCATGAACAAATCATCATGTATTTGTAAATCATGCTTAGAAAACTATATCTTTTGATGTAGTTTTAAACAAAATATCTGCTTGATTGGATTAAGCATTTAGAAGAATAAGAAAGTCATTAACCCTTTCCAATGTGATCGATTCTAGCTATATGAGTGCATTCATGGAAACTATTTTTGTTAGGAAAACCGTATAACTTTTATATAGGAGCATTAACTTGAAGTGAATTTGATGAATCATAAAGTAACTTGGAAGAGGAGAACATTGGGATGTATGTGCCTCAATTCATATTTTCCTATGTTTATGGGAGAAGAGAAGGTTCATTCACTCAAATTAAAAGTCACAATTGATGTACAAAACAAGTTTACTTAATATGCAGTCCTAAAATTCGAGTAAACTCACCCTCAACAAAGAAAAGAGATGCCTCAAGTCTCATAGAATAAACGAGAAGAAAAAATTACACGAGGGAAGAAAAAAATAAATTAAACTAAGTCCAAAATTGAGAACTACAAAATTTTCTCAAAAAGTTACCTCTGTAACCTTTATGGATTTGGCTTAGTTCTTTTATTTTTTCGAGACAAAATTTTGTTATCATGTAAATGAACTTTCATTGATTTTTTTTCGTTCTTCCGTCCTCTTATTTTCTTCTCCAGTTAACTCACCATTCTGAATAGTCCTTTCTAACTCCCTTGACTATAAAGCCATGCACGAAAAGACTATAAATTGCATAAATAATAATACAAAAAAAATCACGGAAAATTCCTTTCAATTAAATATCTTTATAGAACACAATAAATGTGATTTTAAATCTATCTAAATCGATTTGAAATTTCGACTATAACATTTCCTAAATTACAAATTATTTTTAAAAAATTCAAATGAAATTTTAAATTACTAAAACAAGTATTGATTATCATCCGAACAATCTGATGTTTAAAATTTTTTGTATATCCAACTAAATTATTAAATAAAAAATCTAAAAAATCTTTAATATAGCTCAATAATGTGATAAAAGCATATTCTTCTCTTAAGAAATATGAATATCTCAAACTTATTGAGCATGAAGGTCTATTGCAACTTTTGTAAGACATTGAATTTAAATTTAGTTATACGTTATAGTGTCCAATAATATTATACAACACCAATTGAGTTGTCACGTTAGGCAAATAAGATCCTTTTATAGACTTTATTAGCAAGATTAAGCCCATCTAACCTTACTTTTAACTTGGCTTAGTTATCAATGGCATTAAACTTGATTCGGAGTATATAGTTATTTGCTAAATGTTAACCTTTGTAGACTCTTTGAGAGTTCTAATTTGTTATTTGTTTTTAATCAGATGCTCCATCAATGCTTTTCATTCATGTAAATTATTTAATATTTTACTCAAGACCCTTAATATCTATTGTCGACAAAAAAAATTAATGATGAATTTTGTGAGGATGTTGTCACACCTTGGGTCTAAAAGGCATTTCAACCTTACAACATAGAATGCGATGAAGAAATTGACTTCAAATTTGGGAAAAAGTTTAAAATCCAAGGTGGATTTAAACATATTTTGGTACTTGCAAGAGAAAAGTTCATATATAACTAACTATAGATAGTGAAAGTAAGCAAAGGAAGTTAAATTATATTTTATTATATTAATACATTTCATAACAATAACTCAACAAAAAGACAAAAATAACTAATGCAAAAAGCTGAAATAAACAACTACAACAAAGATTACCTAAACTCACAAAAATACAAATTGAACTACGATATAAATTTAAAAGTATTTAGTGAAATTTTACTTTTGATAAGTTTGGTTATCTCACGATGGTTCACCAAGTAATATTCTTGAACCTATTACAAAGAAAAAGTCACAATGAGCTTAATGACTCATACCTAGCAAGGTGTCTTTGTGTTATCAAATTAATGTAATTTTTGCATTGCATAAATGAAAAGTATCACATGTTTTACATCAGTTTATGATATGGTGATGTTTATGATGATTTGTATGATAAATTATGATGAGCATTGCATTTAGATACTATTTTATCCATATGCAACTATATAAAATATATTCATATATATATTCAAATGTGCTCATCGATCATTTATCATTCCACTATATATTTATTTACACATCTAATATTAGCTTCATCAAGGTACCCTAAATAGGGAATGTTAGGCATCAATTTTATGAAAGTTTAATGATTTTCAAAATAATCATCAATATTTCTTTTTATCATACTTGCCAGATGATATTAATAAAGGTTTTATCGACTGATACACTATCACTCATATTCATACTATTTTCTTATATTAAGAGCATGTGCTTATAAAGTATTAATAATTAATATAGTCAATTATTTCTTAAAATAAAAATTGACTTGTAAGAATTCAATTTATGAATGGCGACTCCGCTGGGGATGAGGTTTTCTCTTCACCACGAGAGTTTTGCTCTTGCGGATTCTAGAGTATCCGCAAGAACAACAACTTCTACGGTGAAGAAACTACCTCGTTTCATGTGTGGAGTTGTCTATTCGGGTGTATGTGTCTGTTCTATGGAGCCATCGGGAGTAGTGTGTTCTATCCTTCTGAAGGGGCTCTGCTTGCCTTTTTGATGACCTAGCTTCTTTCTTGTCGAAGCGCCACTGTTTGTTGCGTCTAGCTAGACCTTGGATTTCAGATCCGCGTTTCAGCTGCTAAGGTTAGCAACTTGGAGCACTTCCGTCCCTTTTTATACCCTCGACAGGTCGGTCGTTGCATTTTCGCATTCATCTATGTTGTTGCACTTTGTTTTGATTGTTTTCTTTGACCTTTCTGTTTTGTAATCGTTATCTATTTCTGCTTGACAGACATGACGAGCGAAAAGATGGTTACGATTGCTACTGCAGAGGGAAACACAATGTCTTTTTCCCCGAATATTTTCAGTGCTCTCGAAGGCACTATCACATTTGGTTTTTTCGAGCACCCTGTTCGGATTACCATAGGTAATCCTACGCCTGCTAAGGCATCTGCTTTGTGCTCTCCCCCTCGAAAGGGGAGTCGTGCATGTTGAGCTATCCCGACTGCGGCAGCTTGCGTCGAGTCTGCCTTTCTTGCGAAGAAGAAGCCAACGCCTAATGGCGATGTGTCGCAACGCCCTTCAGTATTCTCTAGATTTTCAGGCCGTTCCATCGTTTTTTCACGATTGTTTCTGCATTTAACAAATGAGTCTTCACTCGACACTGCTGTCGCTACTATTGCCCCTGCTCCTGTTGCGTGTTCGACCCCTATTGCTCCGAATCCATCTGAGGCTGCTCCCACCCCGAAGTTGGGCAGGAGGGCCCGGAAGACCAGAAACAGGTTGTCGCAGATCAAGCAACAGGCCCCTTCTACTGTTCTAGTTCCAGCCCAGGTATAGTCTTCGATTCCACTGGATGAGAATTAGTTTGAAGTTTTTTCTGACTGCGTGGACTACGTTCCCTCCAGCATTACTAGGTGACGTTCCCTGCCTCGTGACACAAGTTCTTTGCCACTCACTGTCCATTTTGACCGTGCTGCTACGAATTTTCTGACAAAGGAAATCGTCGGAGCAGTTACCTCCATGATAGGACATGGTCGAGTCACTAGGGAGAAGCTCATGGCTCAGGTTTCAGAGACGTCCGATCAGGTCATGGAGCAACTCTCCATTGTTTCTCGCCCACGACATCCTCGTATCAGGAGACCGTGGTCCGCCTGTCGGTTCGCTACGAGTTCGGGGTACTTGCGCTTCGTAGTACAGACCGTCGAGCCCATTCAGGAGTCCCGAGAGGCTTCGGATATGGAGTTTGACGGGACTATCCCAGAGCTTGGTTATGTTCCTTTTACCAACACTTCTATAGCGGCGATGGTCGAAGCTCTTGCTGTATTTCCTTCCATTAATGATAATAAAAATATGAGTTTGTTTTCTTAATGTTCTTTTGGTTCGAGTCAGTACCCTGCTTTTACAATTTTTGGTAGCGAGGCGAGATCCGGGACGCACCCCCGCCGATACTCCTCGCATTCATATTTGAGAAAGGGCTATCGCCCATCTGAGAGGAGGTGGGTCCGAAAGAGCTCCACCCTTGTTCCTCTTATAGTTTCACCTCTTGTTACGGGGGCTAATGTCTCGGTTTCGGGACAAGTCTCTCTTCCAGTTGATCGCAGCTTAGAGCTACCTAGGGATAACCCGAGGGTGGGCCTGAGTTCGATCTCGAGGAAAATTTGTCTAGTGGATTCTCTGCTGTTCCTGACAACATTCTCGAAGAGGATGATCTCCTCAGAGAGGAGCTTCGCGATTCTAAAATGTCAAAGCATTATGTTTTTGTAGTGACCACTCAGAGTCAAAGATCATCTACCGACAATTTGTCACATGACCTCGAGGAGACTGATCGTCATGAGCCCGCAGAGGTTCAGAATGCCCCTGTGATTGATCAAAAGGGACCCACTCTCAAGAAA